TCTTCATAGAAAGGTATACTTATCTATAGATTGGGAGGTTTTTATAATATGTAAGCTGCATAGACGTTTCATGCTACACCATCAAAATCAGTGATTCCTGAATTCATTGCTTTTTAAAGGAAATTGAACAGATCATTGCTCCTAACCTATACATTAATTCTTCACCTTATGATATTTATCTTACTGAGAACAAATCTGTCCTGGCTCCCAAGATAGAAACCTGGGAATTATCCTAGCCCCTCTTGGCCCTCATCCCTCAAGAGCAATTCCTAACCAACTGCTGCCTCTTATCCTCTAACAGTTCTGCCCTCTTCTCTTTTCCATTCCCTAGGCCTCTAGAGCCCTGAAATAGCCTGCTTTGCCCCTTGGCACCATCTAATCTATCTCAAAAATGGTCTTTCTAAAATACGAGTTTGTCCTGTGTCATTTTTTTCTGATTAAGGCCCTTCACAGAGTCAACTCTTGAGGTTTTGTCTGATAGACAAAGATCATGCTTTTGCCCTTGCATATTCTTCAGTATAATCTTTTCCTGTAGTTCCCATCTTACATATCACAATCCAGTAATAACTTACTTCCTTATACTTGGCTGAAAATCATTACACCGTTTCAAGTCATCATGCATTTGTCTAGAATGCCTTCACCTTTTCAGGAAGAAGATCCTTACTTTCTTGGCATTCCTCACTCCAGAAGTAGAATTAATAATTAGGATTATTAGTACATTGAAACCTAGAGTAGTGACAAACATATTTGTCTCATAAATATTAGCTGTAATACTAACTAGTTTTATATTGTTCTACTGAAACCTGTTGATCAATGTTGTGCTTAATGATAGAAAGTCTGATTATATATTTAATGTGTTTTTTATTTTGACTCTAAATATATAAATGCTAATGCATAGAATGTCTGCCTGCCTAAACTAACATACAGTGTGGTGATGACAACTTTATAGCTTTGTTTGCAGATTTAGGATAGTCAGATCTCATACTTAACCTAAGCTCTTCTTGTCAGGATTTCTTGAGTTTCAGTTTTAATGAAGTATCACATGATGATTCTGTAAAGCATCTACTCCAATCTTTACCTATATCAGATATGGAAAAATACTATATGAAGTTACTTTTATTTTTCAATTATTGAAAATTTAGAAAAAGTGTTGTTTTTCAGCATAGACCTTATCACCAGACCACTGAAGTAAATTAGTAGATTCTAGAAACAACTTACTCTCAGCAGTTTGAAAATACCTTGTCTTATCATTGACTGTATTTTATATTAAACTTAGAATATATTACAGTACACTGATAGCTTGATATATTGATATTCCTTGTCTGTTGAACTCAATCCATTTAATTACACTAAATATCAGCTAATTATGCCCTCATAACTTTCAGTTAACATTGGTTGTCTGGTTGAAATATTTTAATAGTAATACTGGAAAAATATTTTCATTTCATGGTACTCAAGAAAAGTTTAAGTGCCTCTTCATGAGATTTGTAGTGAATTTCAAAATGTAATAAAGTGACTTATGATTACTACCTGTTGATTCTTAAAGGTTGACAATTATACAGAATTAAGTGGATTAGCTTTTAACAAAACCTTAGCAAAGTTTTAAACTTTATCCACTTTGTCTTTCATTTATTTTAATTATATAGTTTTTCTGACTGTGGGGCCTCAGCAAAAGTACTATTTTACTTCTACCTGATGATAAGTTCTGTTGAGTTCCACATGTTTATATGATTTTATGTTTTGATTCTGCCACATTTTTACATTTTTGAATTGTTACATCTTCATTCAAATATTGTGCTATATATATATGATTGTCTTTCTGTAAACATGTATCACTTATTTCAACTCCTTTTTATCTTCTCATTAGTCTGTGACACTTAAAGTGGTAAATTGCTTCACCACCACATTGGCCGTTTTCATTGTCAAAGCATGACGCCTTTCATTTGAAAAGTATTAATGCAAAAGAGAGGTTTTGTATTTGTGTCTGCTAAAAAGAATACAACATGAACAGATTTCCCAACAAATTGGAAGTTGAGTGATGTCCCTTTAGGTGATTATGGACAATAAGGTAAATATTGATACAAAGGCAAAGGGGCTCTGAAATTACACAGCAGTACTTGGATATAAGGTGAATATTTAGATGATTCATAATTGCTTCTATTAATTGTATTTTTTTATGATAAAAATGAAGACAGTTCTACACATTTTGGCATAGAATTATAGGCCTCCCAAGAAATTATTTGTGGAGTCTGATCTGAGAAACAGTTGTACTGGAGGATGGTGCAGAGAAAATGAAGGCTTCTGCTCTAAGGTTTCAAAAACCAGCAATGAATGTATTATTTTTTGTGTATCAGTTAGTAATTGAGTTCAGCTGTATAACCAAATACTCCAACAGCAGTGGCTTAACCAAGACCATGGGTTTATCTTTCCCTCATGTAATAAGGAATCCTAGGCAGTTCAGAGCTAATGCAGTGGCTCCATGGTGTCACCATGACTCAGTCTCCTTCTGGCTATTCTCTCTCCTTAAGTTCTTATTTCACGTTCCCAGCATGGCCTCTGGAGCTCCAGCCATCATGTTGTGTCCTTGTGCCCGGCAGGAGAAAAGGGGAGGACAAAGGGCAAAAGGCAAAAACCAGACAATCTGTGTTTCAGAGGGCTTTCTCAGAAGTATCACCCACTGACTTCCATTTATATACCATTGGCCAGGACTGTGTCATATGACCACACCTCTATCTCAAGGGAAGCTGGGAACTGTGTTTCAAGTGCGCATTTGTTGCCCCAACAAATAGGGACTCTCTGTAAGGAATAAAAGAGAATGGACATAGCAGCCTCTGCCAACCAATTAAATAGATATGTTAAGAAAGCTCAAAAAATAGTCTTTCTCTTTTATCTGCATTTCTACTTTAAAGTTATATGAAAGGAATATAAATAAGTCCCTAAATTCCTAAAGTATGAAGGGTACCTAAAAATCATATAGTCCTAGCATTTTAGGCTTAGAAATAATTAGTGACTTGTATGAGGTCACAGACATCAGTTCCAGGATTCCAATTTGAAGTTCCTAACCCCCACTCAGTCACTCTTCTTTCCATTTGCTGTGCAGCTTCATAAAACCTGGTCATTCATGTATTACTCTTCTAAATACACAAGACAGCTGTGTTTTGGTTATGCCATTGGGGAGAAAAATCCTGTAGTCCCCTGAATGATTACAATAAAAGTGATAGAAGGAAATTTCTTATTTGAGGGTCTTATATGTTCACTTTGTTAGTGTCCATGGTACTATTTATATATTCATTCATTCATTCTTCATTCATTTATTCACTGACAGTAGATTATAGGGTAGCAAGAATAGGACCGTGTCTTATTAATTTCTATATCCCCCTAGTGGGTCCTCACTGATGAATGAAAATTTCTGTCATAGTCCCTGTCCTCAAAGAATCCTCAGTCAAGTCTGGGACATAGACAAGAATGTCAGTGGTAATGGTACAGCAAAGGCAGAGTTCCTCAAGAGATGATGGAGGTCCCAAGTCCAGTCATAGAGGGGTTTTCCAGGTGAAGAAAGAGGAGGGCTGCATATCAAACCAAAGACAAGTTTTTAGAGGTATAGTAGGGGTGAGAAGCTGTGTTTGAAGAAGAGGAAACCACAAGAAATGTGGAAGAGGGCCAGAGTAGTAGGAAATGAGACTTGAGAGACTGACTTTGGTTATGGCTGCACCACAGATGCATCATAACATGCTAAAGGATTTTAATCTACCTAACTGTGCTGATGGTGTGCCATGAAGGCAGGGCAGACAATAGAAGCTGAAACATGCCCTTTTGCAGGGCCACCTGATGTTACAGTTAGACCTGGTACCTTAGTGCAGAGCCCACCTCCAGGGAGGCGCTTCTTGTTGCCCACAGGTGCAGATGAACAGAGCAGACTAAACCACTCATTGAGATCCTTGTTCGTCTCTCCCCCGTTCTCCCCAGGATCTCCCTTTTCGCAGAGCCTTATTGGACCTTTCTAACCACATGTGAACTCCACATGCCCCATTTCTCTTCTCCTGCCCGTCATGTTGTCTTCACTCTTAGTCAAGAACCCATACATAACAAGTGATTCTTTTTGACCTCTGCCCAATAAAGGATGATTTACTCTGATTTGGTAGTTGGCTATCCTTGGGAGTACAGGAACCTCAGATGGTGAAATAGACCAGACACATCTTTTACCTCTAAATTGTGAGATGAAAGGCAGTATTTAAGGAATTTCAGACAGCAAGGAGACAGGAAGCATATTCTAAGATGTGGTAAGCATGCTGGTACCCAGCCTACTCCTCTTTGCTTCTGGCTTGCAGCCTGCCTGTGCCCCTGACCCTAGCAGTGTATGTTCCTCTCCCAGTATATTCCCCCTTCTCTGCCAAAGAGTTAGCGTCCCCACTTCGTAAATTCAGCACCTCATTCTCTCCTTAGACTCTCAGGTGTGTCATTTGTTTTCTGGTACCCGGCAGAGAATTGTCTTCCCTTCTCTAATATCCACCCTAGAGTGAATCTGAGCCTTTGTTAGCTCTGCCTCTAGTAATGTAGCTTCTGATGGCAAAGGGTGAAGTTGGGAGGGAGTGCATCCTCTTGGTTAATACAAATAATACATACATTTTATTACTAAGGGACTGATTGAACCTCTCTTTTTATGACTTTAGAAGTAAAATGTACCATGAAAACCTCATTCTTTTTATTGCTTGTTTCTTCTTTCTTTTCTTTCCCTCTTTTTTCTTATGCAGACATTATTATAACAATAAAAGAAACTAACAAGAATTTTCTCAAATCCCACAGCCATAAAACATCAACTGTTATTACTTTTTCCTGTATTCCCTCCCAGTCCCTGCCCATGTGCAGTGATATTAACTACAGTTTGAAGTGCATTTTTTTTATGCCACATGCTCATAGTTCAAGGAAATTGAAATAATTGAGGTGTGGGAATATCTTGGGCTTCTTAGTAATGGCTTCTTATTTTGATTATTTCCCTTTAGGAAAGACACTGCTGATCCTGTAACATGGAGGATTGCCTTCATACCTCATCTGAGAATCTGTCCAAATTGGTCAGCTGGGCCCACAGCCATGGGACCATTTGCAGCCTCATCCCAAACCTGAAACACTTGCTTTCCGAAGGTTCCCATGGGAACCTGACAGCAATGTGGGGCTGTAGTGCTGGCCATGCTTACCACTGGCCACTGACAGCTACTTGCCGAGCTGGGTCCCAAGAAAGGGTCTGTTTCCAGGATAACAGAAGTTTTAACTCCGATAGTCCCAGTATAATTGGAGTGCCCTCTGAGACACAAACTAGCCCTGTTGAAAGGTATGCTGGCAGACCAGTGAAAGCAAAGCTAGACTGTAATCGGACCAGAGACTCTTGTGACTTCTCTTATTGCAGTGAGCCCTCAGAACTGGATGAAACTGTTGAAGAATATGAAGACGAAAACACTCTGTTTGACATGGTTTGTGAGTCTTCTGTTACAGATGAGGATAGTGACTTTGAACCCCAAACTCAAAGGTCTCAAAGCATTGCTCGAAAAAGGCCTGGAATAGTCCCATCTTCTCTCCATTCAAGTTCCCAGGCTCAGATGGTTGATGAATGCAGCAATGATGTCATCATTAAGAAAATCAAACAGGAGATTCCTGAAGATTATTACATTGTGGCAAATGCAGAACTGACTGGTGGAGTAGATGGACCAGCTCTGTCACTGACACAGATGGCAAAGCCCAAGCCTCAGACTCGTGCTGGTCCTTCCTGTGTAGGGTCTGCTAAGCTGATTCCCCATGTAACATCTGCCATCGGCACAGAGCTAGACCCACATGGTGTGTCTGCATCCCCCTCTGTGATGTCCAGACCAATTGTCCAGAAGTCTGCCAGGGTATCTCTGGCTTCTCCAAACAGAGGACCCCCTGGTGCCCATGGCACCAACCAGCAGGTGGCCATACAGATGCCTGTGAGCACATCCCATCCTAACAAACAGATCAGTATCCCTTTGTCTGCCCTGCAGCTGCCTGGACAGGATGAGCAAGTTGCTTCTGAAGAGTTCCTGTCTCATCTGCCCAGCCAGGTCTCCTCCTGTGAGGTAGCTCTTTCTCCTTCAGTTAACACAGAGCCAGAAGTGAGCTCCAGTCAGCAGCAGCCCCCAGTCGCTCCAACTATAACCACTGAGGCCACAGCACAGTGCATACCAGGTATGGCCCATGAGGTGACAGACAGTCCCTCATCTGCATTCTTCAGAGAATTCTGCGCCGTCACCACTTCTAAAACCATTGGCTCAGTTTGCTAGAAGTCAGGCCTTTATTATTCTCAGAAAGATAAAAATAATGAAATAAATGACGTCCAGGTGATTCTGTAAAGGAAATTCATCGGAATTAAGGCCGTCCATCCAGTCAGTGTACCTCAGGGCTCAGAGGACAGCAGTAGGATTGTGCTGTTGATATTGCATGGCTAGATTGAAGGTTTATATCAGATCTTAAGCTGAATTTTTTATAGTAAAGTTATTTTTGAAGGATTTTTTAAGAACTTTCCTATCAGCATTAAGGTATTTGGTTGCTGTTTGAAGCCAAAATGATGTTGGGTTAGGTAGGCATATGATGACAATAGAACTAGTGTTTTTCCATTGTTATTTGTTTGTCTGAACCAACTTGGCATTTCTATTCATTCTAGTTGTTTAAAATGAGTTTTTAAAAAAAGGAACAAATATTTCTAAGAAAATATTTTTATCTTTTCTTAAAATCTAAAAGTATCAAGTAACTTGAATTTCTAGAATACATGGCCTAACTGGAATGGATTAGGAGGAGAAAGAAATAATTATACGAGATCCCTGTCTGTAATTATAACATCCTAGTGTTCTGTGATTCTAACATTCAAAATTATTTAATCTGGGCCATTACTATATAAAGGGGGTTTATCTGTCATGCTTTGAGGTTCATGATTCAAATCTAATAGGTCATAAGTAGAGACATGGACAAGGATGACAGACATGCAGAGTACATAGGAAGCAGAAATTTCTGGCATATTTTGTTTCCATGGTAGTTCCTTTCAAGAAAATCATGTATTTTGGGAAAAGGTTCCTAGAAGTCTGAGGTGCCTTTACCTTTACCCAATTTATGATTTTCTTAACATAGTCATAGTAGTAATAAAATATACAATGAAAATATGCTTTTCAGTTTATTCATTTTTCTTCTTTTTAAAATAACAGCTTTATTAAGATATAATTCATCTATCATAAAATTCACCTTTTTAAATGATAAATTCAGTGGTTTTTGAAATATTCAGAGAATTGTGCAACCATCACCACTGTCTACTTTCAAAACATTCTTATAACCCTTTAAAGAAACCCCACACCCATTAGCATTTTTTGCCTCCTCCCAGCCCCTGTCAACCACTAATTTACTTTCTGTCTGTATGGATTTGTTATTCTGCACATTTCATATAAATGAGATCATATTATGTGGCGTTTTTTGTGACTGCCTTCTTGCACTTAGCTCATTTTTTTAAGGTTAATCGGTTGTAGCATGTATCAGCATTTCTTTACTTTTTATTGCCAAATAATATTTCATTGTTGGATATATTTGAATTTGTTTTTCTTTTCATCAGTTGATGGCTATTTAGGTTGTTTCCATTTTGGCTATTATGAATAATGCTCCTAATATTTATTTGTGTACAAATTTTTGTTCGGACATATATTTTGATTTTGCTTGGGCAACTACTTGAAGTGGCATTGCTGAGTGTATTATGACTATTTAACTTTTCAAGCGGCTGCCAGACTGTTTTCCAAAGCAGCTCCACCATTATACAGTCACCAACAATGTAAAAAGGTCCCTGTTTCTCTCTACATGCTCACCAGTGCTTGTTAGCGGTTTTTTAAAATTATAGCTATCCTATTGGGTGTGTGTAGTATCTCATTGTGGTTTTGTTTGGTATTACTCTAAACTAATGATCTAGAACTTTTTCTCATGGGCTTATTGGCCATTTGTGTATCTTCTTTTAAGAAATATCTACTCAAATCTTTTGCCCATTTTCTAATCAGGTTGTTTTTTACTGGTGAGTTGTAAGAGTTCTTTATATATTCTGGTTATGTCTCTTATAAGATATATGATTTGCAGATGTTTTCTCTCACCCTGAGTCCTTCCTTCCTTTCTTTCTTATTTTTAAAATTTTACTTCTGTCTCTTAATGGCAACATGGTCTTTAGCAAATCTTCACATCATTTAGACACATGTTATCTTTATTAGGCTGGTGCAAGTCTTTGTACTAGGAAACCTGACTCTTGATACATACAGGATATAAATAGTACCTTTTCATGTAAATAGTTGTGAGTCTGGTTTATTTATTGCCCATCCTGCCCCCACCTATTTTTGTAAAACAGGAAACTCAGCTTTATAGTTTTTTACATTTTCTCTTACTTTATATTTTAGGGCAGAATTCAGAAATGTGTTTTGTAAAGTGTCCAGTACAACCAAAATAGCTTAGTAAGACTGCCTGTGTTGCACATCCTTCTACTAACTTACCTTGCAAAAAAATTTGCAACATTTTGCATCTCTCTAGTGGATAGTGAGACATCAATGCTCTTTACTAAACCAAATATGAGTATTTTACTGTGTAATTATTTTGGAGAAGAAATTCATCCTATTTGAAAGAGAAATATTTTAATCTATTTTTCAATGATTTCATTCTTTTACTTTTCTCCTCTCAATGAAATTGCACTTCTTGTGATAGTTATAAGAAGCAGGTATGGCCAGGTGTAGCACATAACTTACACAATCATGAACTGTGATTTGGCTTTACTCTTACAAGGAGAATTGGTTTGGTTTGGAGTTGAACCTTCAAGAAAAGCAGTATGAAGAACGGTAATGGGAATTTCCTAAGGAATGATTCTGATGTTTTGATCCATTGTTCTGTGGAAGCATGTTATATTGTTAAGATATTATGAGCTTTAGAGAAACACTGTTTGTACTGGAAACATCAGTGGCACAAATAAAAATCTGATAGGCATTTTTCTTTTGTGAGAGGTATATAAAGTTAACCTATAATTTACCTTTGCTGTATAGAACCCCAACTAGGTTTTGTTCTCTTAAAGTTTTATTTATTTATTGGGTTTTGCATATTTATTTATAGTAGACAGTCTCCATTCTAAACATAGATTTTTAAAAATTTGTAATTCAGCATGTCCCAATGTATGTGAATGAATATGTAGAAATGGACTTTACACAGTTAATATGTAGAGCATACTTGGGACTAAGCAAAGAAGAAAGCTTCTGAAAGAACTAGCTGAAAGCAAATCAGGTACTTTTTTTAAAGTAAAAAGGGTTTTGTGTAAGCTTGAGTCTTTATCAGATCATTGTAGAAATACTGCATATCTTTGAATAATATTTTTTAAATAAATAATTTGACAAGTGACTATTGAGTCAGTCAGAAACAAAGAGAAATTGTTCCATTTCATTTAGCTTTACTGATGCCCTTTAAATTCTGTTCTCCTAGTGGAAAACCACCCTCTTTTCTGTTCAGAAATAAATTCAAAGTTATAAAATGTTAATCAAGGTATGGATAAAATTATTAATTTTCATGTCAGTCCTGTCAGACTTCTCAACCCAAATCTTAGCAAATAGTAAAGAGTAAAGAGGATATCCATTATTAGAAGAATTATTGACCATTTACATTCTATTAATATTTGAAGTTTTTATGTAAACTTGGGATATTTGTCAAATTTAAATCTGTATATTATATCATGAATTAAGTTTTTGTGTATGTATTTCTTAAATATATTTCTTAGTTCTTTCCCTGCCTTGAATCAGATAAATATTTACCTCTATCTCTGGCTCTTTTTGGTTTTCTTTTCTTCTCTTCCTGTTCTGTCTTCTTGATTTCTTTTTTTACATTTAACTTTACAGTTAGAATATATTTTGGATTGGAACCTCACTTCATTATTTTTACAGATAGTCAAATGTTCCAGCATCATTTATTAATTCCCATTCTCCACTTAATTGATTTATATAACACATTTTTGTTTATAATTGGGTCTATTTCTAGATTTCCAATCCTGTTTTTATTGATCATATCTTATTCTTTTTTCATGTAATTTTTACTCTTTGATTATAGTTAATACAAAGCAAAATGCATTCAGAGAAAAGAGGAGTAGCCTTAAGCATTTAACAGAATACTTTGTGAAACCTCATATAAAATTTAGTTCAGTGAGCTATTATAAGTTGATTAAGTTATATATTACTTCTGATTGCTTGGTCTGTGTTGACACCACAATCATTTCTCTTGTCAAAAACAAAACTTTTGTTAAAATAAGTTAAAAGAGTATTAGCTGCTTTGTAGTCTAAGGATGGATCTTCAAATGAGCTTTTATCCAGGTTTCAATGTCTAGTTTCTCTCATATTGTTTCTCACCTTAGCTTCCTCGATCTTAGCTCCACCTACAAGTGTTTGATCCTTGCATGGTCCCTAAGGTGGTTGCCAAGCGCTGCTGGAATTCGTGTCTAGCAGTAGACTGAGCCTATGTCACAGCATTCCCACTAACTCCTCAATCAGTCATTGGGGCATCATAACCCCCTTTCTGAACATGGCCTGGCGAGCAGTCCTATACAGACCACACAGCTGAGTGTAGAGGTTGCATGCATGTATCTTCCTAAGGACATTCTGAGTTCTAGTCTTGAAAGGGGCAGCAAACCAGAGATATTTACTACAGTTTGTGTGAGGGATTTTTGAGCATTTATTTTTTATATATGAGCAGATAGGAGGAGTTTTTATATATGTCATTCAAAGACAGCTTATGCTGTTCTAGTATAAGAGATAGAAATATATATAAATGTATATGCTTGTGTGTGTGTATGTATGCATATGTATACATATACACAATATTTTATGTATATCCTTATTCCACAAGAAATATGTACTTCTTTGTACAAGATGAAAAAGACTAAATTTTGTTTTCTTGGCCACACCCTTTCCTGTACCTTCCTGCAGGAAGACTTGAGACATAAATTCTGAAAAATAAGAAAAGCAAAGTGAAAATACAGGTTTAGTTTATGCCATCATTTCCCTTCTTACCATGGTGTTTTCATCTGAGGCTTCATATGTCAAACATGGACATTGAGATAGTAGAGCCTGGCTACTCAGAGTTTGGAGTCAGAAATGCCTAGGTTGATTCCCAGCCCTACCTTCCGCTGGCCTTATAACCTGAGC